AATTACCAGCCTCCCACTGTGGTGCCCGGTGGAGACCTGGCCAAAGTCCAGCGAGCTGTGTGCATGCTGAGCAACACCACAGCCATCACTGAGGCGTGGGCTCGCCTGGACCACAAGTTTGACCTGATGTATGCCAAGCGTGCCTTTGTTCACTGGTATGTGGGGGAGGGCATGGAGGAAGGAGAGTTTTCTGAGGCTCGTGAGGATATGGCTGCCCTTGAGAAGGATTATGAGGAGGTTGGTGTGGATTCTGTTGAAGGTGAGGGTGAAGAAGAAGGAGAGGAATACTAAAGTTAAAAATGTCACAAAGGTGCTGCTTTTACAGGGAAGCTTATTCTGTTTTGAATATTGAAAAGTTGTGCTCTGATCAGTTAATTTGTATGTAGCAGTGTATACTCTCATATATAATTACTGAGCTATGCTTTAAAACACAACGCTTTGTTATAGACCCAAGCTGTCCATTTCTCTGATGGGTTTGAATAAAGTATTCCCTGTCTTAAAAAAAAAAAAAAAAAAAACAACATTGCATTTCTTCACAACTAACTATGCTTTCTATTAATATACAGCTAAACTGTACCCTGTTAACATCCCAATATAATGTTCATCAAATTAACCATCTTATACCAGAAAGTTTAATGAGATCCCCAAAGCCAGCTACATAATTTGCAGGACCCAGTGCAGAATGAGAACGTGGCACCCTTCCTCAACATAGGTGGGTCAATTCCCACTTTCCAAGAACTCACCACCTCAACCCATGGGGACAGGTGACCACACAGGTGGAGTGTGGCAGCAATCACGGGACAGGGGCAGAAATGGAGAAGCCAAGTGACCCAGGGCACCAAGGGACAATAGGGAGAGGGTGACGGAGAAGCTGTCTCAGGGAAGCAGGAAAGGAAAGGGAGGCAGAATCATCCCTGAGCCCCAGCTCCAAGTCCCGAGTGCATGCTCCATTGTCGCATCTGACTTCACGTTGAAAACACAAATTCACAAAGACAAAATTAGGAATTTCAAGATAGCAACAACAAAGCCTTAAATTTCCAGCATGGGCTCCTTCTGAGTGGGAGTTCCTGAACAACCCTACTGGTTGAACACCCATGAAGCCAGCCCGGGAGCTGACAGAGAGTAAAATGAGCAAATAACCCCTCCTTGGCCAGCAACTCCCGCCATGACACAGCCAGTCACGACAGCGATAGTGTTTCTCACAGGAGGCAGAACATCTGATGCTCTCTCATAGCCTAGGCTTTTTCCTTCCTCCTGGTCCTGACCCACATGTCATGTCTAAGTGCTTGTCGCTTTCAAGGCTTGTCCTCCTGATATGGGAAGCGTCAAGAAGGCAGCCGAGGATGGCAACAAAAACGTGCCAGCAGCCGGACAACCCTGGCTGGCCTCTCTCACATTCCCTACCTTGGGTACCTCCCTTCCTCACTCTCGGCCTCTGCCTCTGTATTATGAAATTCCTCGTGCCATAATTTTGGTTTCCTTAGTATTAATTATCAGTGGAAGGGTTAGACCAGGTTACCTTCCGGCTCTGTTTCTAGAAGAGAGAGACAACACAAATGGGTGTTTGGCAAAAGGCATTTGACCTCTTGACTGTTTTGTCTTCATCTTTATTGGACTTGTTGTAATCAATATACTTGGATTCATCAAAGCCGTATCTGAGCTGTTTGGTGTGATGTTGTTGCTACATAAAAGTCAAAAGAAAGGAAACGTGAGTAATGTGGGTTTGTGTAGGCAAAGGGAGACCTCGTTTCCTTAAGGCCTAGCAGCATATGGCTTAATTCCGTGACCCCAGGTTTTAGAATAGCAGTAATTAGTACCTGAGACGAGCTCTTTTATCTAAGGTACTCAAAGGGCTTTGTGGTTATTAACCCATTAATTCACCAGCCTCAAGCCATCAGGTCAGGAAGAATCTCCTTAGAAGACAAGCATGCCAGAAATGGAAACATCACCACAGTGAGGAGTGGCCATGAGTAACTAGCTGGAAGGAGGGAGGAGGGGAAGGGGACACCAGAACAGTTCTTTTGGAAGAATTAAATGGAAAACCCGCTGCCTTTCTAAAGATAGTAGTTTAACCACTCACCAAGCTCTTTGAGTGACTTCTCATGGATGTCACATCTCCTCATCTATCAGGAAAATCTCTTTACCCTAATGTAAACTTTAGATTTGCTTTAACAGATTCTGACAGATAATAATTATGCCTAAAATAAAGGAGAGGACTCTCCTCCATAAAATATTCTTCTCTCAAAGGGGAAAAAAATGGCTCTTTAAAGTTGAGGAGTCCCTAAAGATAGAATGCCACTTCAGAATGAATTTGTCTGGAGTTTGTTAAGGTCCTGACTTATTTGCAGGTGGTTTCCATTAAAAAGCTTCTGTTGGAAAACCACACCGTTAAAAACATACCTTCACAAGTCCTGGAATTCTGTCGTTAGACTCCCTCCTTCAACTAAACAGTCTACCCATCACCTGGGAGGTGATCGCCTCGGGGCCAGGTGCTATGAGGGTATAAAATGTGGAACTTGACCACCCAAGCAGCTATAAATCGAATCAAGGGGATGAGGCTAGTACAAATAAAATAAATTAATAAATGTATTACTTACTGCTATTTTTAATTTATTGTTTTATTAAAAATTAATTGATGCAGATAAAATGGGCAGAAAATATGGTTTTCATAATCATGAACAGCACAGCCCCAACAGGCTGTGGAGTTGGCGGTAGGAGGTAGGAGTTGCTGGTAGGAGGTAAGCGGTGAGGGCTCCAGAGATTAAGGAAGGCAGGAGAGTTCACCGAGGAGATAAGAGCTATATCTTAGAGGTAGGGGAAGTATTTGGTTAGGAAACGGAATCGGTGGGAATAAAACAAAAGGCAACTCAGGCCACGGACAACATCTAAGAGAACACAAGCAGATGGGAGCTTTGTTTCTTTATGATGCAGTGGGGAAACTGACCTGGGGAAACCATAGGGCCAGAAGACCTGAAAGAAATACGTTGGATGAGAAAGATAAGGTCAGATCACAGGGGTGACTTGAAACCAGACCAGCAGGTACTGATTTGGAGAATCTGGAAGTCTTCTGTCAAAATGCAAATATCCAAGGAAAAGAAACAAGGAGTCAGTTGGAGTAGGGAGTGTGGAGGTGCAGTCAGTATAGGCTGAACACTGCTATGTGCTCCACTGTATGTTGTAGCAGGAGGAACAGAATTTTTATAATAGCAGCTAGTAGATTCAACTGTGAGTTCTGTTCTGGGCCATGGGAGGGATGCCCCAATGGAATGAAACTCAGAACAAGTGTGTTCTGATGGGGATGAGGAGAGGAATGATGAAGGGAAATTATACCAAAGCCTTCAGTATTATGAGGAAGAGCTGGTCCAGGTAGGGGCCCGCACTTGATGGACAGCCAAAGCCTGAGAAAAGACTTCCAATGGAGAAGAAAAGGGAGTAGGAGAGAAGACAAATTTCCCCTAATTCACAATTTTGCCAACTACTGGCCCTTCTAATGCCTATGACCCCTCTTTATGGTCCAGTAAAACTCGTATTCCTTTGTTGAACGGATGCTCTTTTGGCTCTCACAATCAAAAATCGAGCTGTAAGGAGGACTCCAGAGAGGGCTCTTTAGGGAGTAGGACAGGAGAAGAATGAAGTATCCCGATGTACTGCCAACCAAGGGCCACTGGGGCTTCCTAAACACAGTGTAGTCTACGGAGAGGAAGAAGTCTTCCCTAAAGTCACCTCCAGCACCTCCTAAGGCCAAGGTGCCTCTGGTTAGCAATAGAATAGAAAATAATTGTTCTCACCAAAGATACTTCTGTAGAAAAGTTGCTGGGAAACTGGAATAGGCGTGTCTTTCTGGCCTTCCGGTTCTTTTTATAGGCAGTGCAGGAACCTGAGTGAGGGCCTCTACTCCTTCCGCCCATTTGGGGAGAGATTAAAGAAGCTGAGATTGTCTCCTTCTTACTCATTGGCAGTTACAACCTTGCAGCCAGTAGAGCCTCAACTTCCAGCGTGGACACAGAGAAGGTAGGTCGGAATGAAGGGGCCATGCCCGTAGCTATAAACCCAGATGGCTCCAGCCATCTGGCTTGGCAATAACTGAAGAGGAATAGAGAGCTAGGAGTATTCAATTGCAAGGTACTATGTTTCCTCATAAATAGGGGGAGTTTTTTCCTAGGCAACCTCAGGAAAGACATAGATTTTGGTGCTCAACTATTGAAAGAGTTATCTGAAGGCAGGGACCCTTCTGTATAATTCTTTGATGAACAAAGAACAGATTTTTAGCAGTAACATGTTGCGTTGGAATGGCTTAGATTAAAAGAAGGAACAGCCACTAGAACTACGAAGAAAAATGATCTGCCTGTCTCCTTCAGGCAGTGTGGCAGTATCTTGAATGATCCAATGATCCACTGATGTTGACAACCTTTGTTCTGGAGCCTGATATAACTGTAATCTCACCCATCAGGCAAACGTTGTCACACACCCTATTTTATGAAAAGGGTTCTGCCTCGAATTTCAAAAAGTCTTGGTACAGACTGCGACATGAAAATGGATGACGTATCTGGAACCTCCGAGTGAAGAGTATTCTGCTTTTCCCGGCAAGACAGAGCTAGGAGAATTTTTTTTTTTTAAAGATTTAATTTATTTATTTGACAGAGAGAGAGAGAGAGAGATCACAAGCAGGCAGAGAGGCAGGCAGAGAGAGGGCGGGGGAAGCAGGCTCCCTGCCGAGCAGAGAACCTGATGTGGGGCTCGATCCCACGACTCTGGGATCATGACCTGAGCCGAAGGCAGAGGCTTAACCTACTGAGGCACCCAGGCGCCCCAGAGCTAGAAGAATTTTAAGGGTCTGATGGTTTGGGGCTCTTGCATATTTGGGAAGGAGAGACATTATGGTGCCCAAACCGGACTAGCCAACAGGCACTTCTGCATGAGGATGTAGTCCGAAGTCTGTCCCCTCTTTCTTTTGCAGGGAGACAGAAGTCCATTCTCGTGAGGTCCACCCACAAGTCACCATGTATGAGGACTGCGTCAAGTCCACTGAGGACTATTATTTTGTCTGTGAAAACGAGGGCACGTGGGGCATTGTGCTCGAGTCCTTGGCAATAATCGGCATAGTGGTCACAATTATACTACTCTTGGCGTTCCTCTTCCTCCTGCGAAGGGTTCAAGACTGCTGCCTGTGGAATACCCTCCCCACTCAGATCCTCTTCCTCCTGGGTGTGCTGGGACTCTTCAGCCTTGCCTTTGCCTTCGTCGCTCAGTTCAATCAGCAAACTGCCCCTGTGCGCTACTTTCTCTTTGGGGTTCTCTTTGCTATCTGTTTCTCATGCCTCTTGGCTCATGCCTCCAACCTGGTGAAGCTGGTCCGAGGTAGAGTCTCCCTCTGTTGGACAACAATTCTGTGCATCGCTATTGGTGTCAGCTTGTTGCAGGTGATCATTGCCATTGAGTACGTGACTCTCATGATGACCAGGGGCATGATGTTTATGCATATGGCCCCTTGTGAGCTCAACATGGACTTTGTTGTCCTCCTGGTATATGTCCTCTTCCTGATGGCCCTCACCTTCTTCGTCTCCAAAGCCACTTTCTGTGGCCCATGTGAGAACTGGAAGCAACACGGAAGACTCATCTTTGTCACTGTGCTCATCTCCATCATTATCTGGGTGGTGTGGATCTCCATGCTCCTGAGAGGCAACCCACAGCTCCAGCGGCAGCCCCAGTGGGATGACCCCGTCATCTGTATTGCCCTGGTCACCAATGCATGGGTTTTCCTGTTGCTGTACATCATACCGGAGCTCTGCATTCTCTACAGATCGACCAAGCAGAACTGCCCTTTACCAGGAAACACCTGCCCTGCCCCAGCCTATCAATGCAGCTTCAGAGTGGAGAACCAGGAACTCTCAAGAGGTACTTTCCCAGGGGATTTGGGGAGCAGGGAGGCTCTCCCTAGGGAGAAACAGGAGAGAAATTGAGAAACCGGGTGAACAAGAAGGAACAATAAGGAAATGGCCACAATATAGGTGGGTGACTTCAGAGTTCCAGCATGAAGATAGAAACACCCAGAATTGATGTTAAACTTTTATGAGAAATCGGTGCTTCCAAAATACCGAGAGTTATGGGGAAGAGGCCAAGACAGAAATGAATCAAAGGCCCTAAATAAAGAGGGTGTGGCTCTAAGTGCTCATGCTGGGTAAAGAAAGGCACCCCCTATAAAGTGAGTTAACCAGCCCCAAATTAGGCTTGGACCAAGCAATTGCATGATGTATAATGCTAAGTCCAGATGTTTTGGCTATCAAGGGCACAAGTCAATCCCAGCAACGGTGATTGATTTTTTTTTTAATTTAAGTCTTGAAGTTAGTTTGCCCAAACATCATCATAAACTGATTCATAGGACTCATCACCTCATTAACAGCACAAAGCCCAATAACTCCTGGATTTCTACTTTTCATACCATTCACTGCATGAAAGCCTTCAAGGTTTGCAAAAAGTGACAGGAAGAGCCACTGAATCAGAATTCTAATAAAGGCTCAGATGTGTCATCACTAATAGAAAAAAAGCAACTTGCTTATGTGACATTTTCATAAAAATTTCTGGTCAGATTTTTATCGTTCTCGAAGACCAAGCCACCTGACTATACTTTTTGCTAATGAATAAAGTAGATTAACTTTGACAACAAAAATGCTCGGACTCTAACAACCTGGGGGAAATAGTGGCTAATTCTGGTTATCTAGAAATATGTCAAAACACATTCATTCCTTTCTGAAACATCTGGCCTATTATTCATAACCCAATATCATAGTTTTACATCAATTTTTATGTCTTAATAGGCATCTGATTCCTTACAATTTATTTCTAATGTGCAAAAATTACGTTATTTTATATATTGTAGAGCACACATAATGTTCACCAGGCTCAAAAAAATTAATAGAAGCCTTCCCTTTAAGTGCATACATGTTTTTTGAGCTATAATCTATGGCTAATTACACATTCAAATTAAATGCTGCTCAGATAGATGCATCCATTAATTCTTTTCAGTGCAGTTGACAGAGTCGGAAATTGACGCTATACATCCTTCCTATAAGAGTTTTTCTTTCCTTGTTGATGGTGCATCATCAGATCACTAAGGTTTGTGGCAGAATTGCACAGTCAGTCCCCAAAACTACTTCTCAAAGTCCTCATCAGCAGATAGGATAAAACTTCTTGTGTCTGTTTTATTGTTGTCGTATGTTTCCAGGAAACAAAAGTCAGAGAGAGAGAGAGAGAGGAGTTCTCAGAGTTTTATAATACCCCAAACATACCTGGATTTATAACAACCAATATTCTATACCCCAAAACACAAGTGTTTCAAATGTTCTCAGGATGTCTTGGTGGCAGAACAAGGGTGTGCAAAAAACACGTTTCCCGGTGATATCCTCATTACTCATGCATGGTTAGAAAATCCGTTTCTGAACGGGAAATGGCCTGCCAGTGATAGTCATTATCAATGTAGTTTGATGTCGTTTGTTTGTTTTTTTTTAATTTGACAGACAGAGATCACAAGTAGGCAGAGAGAGAGGAAGGGAAGCAGGCTCCCTGATGAGCAGAGAGCCCAACTTGGGGCTCGATCCCAGGACCCTGGGATCATGACCTGAGCCAAAGGCAGAGGCTTTAACCTACTGAGCCACCCAGGCACCCCATGATGTATTTTTTTATAAAAAAAATTAATAATGTAGTAAGGAATATACAGATTGCTCTCCAAATTGGGCAGAATAACCAGAAACTTAAAGTTGGACAACAGAATCAGATTTTAGGTCAGCTGGGAAAAATACAAATATCAAAAATTAGAAGAATGATTAAAACTTAGTACAAAATACAGGATTACACCAAGCTGGGAAAAACATACAACACAAGATAGATAAGAACCAGACAAGTAGAGTCTGATAACAGGAACTTGAAAAACCCTAAGTGTGCCCTGTAGGTCACAAGCTGGTGAGAGGAAAGCAGCTTACCACTGTCTTTGTTTTCATTGGCTCAAAAAACAGTCACGGTACCGTATCAACAGACGTGTGGTCAGCGAGAACAATCAGACTATTGTATTTGGCACTGGTCAGTCTCCAAGAGAATACCCATTCCAGTTCTGGGGTCCACCAATGAGAAGTACGGGGGAACTTGAGGAGGTTAAGGGAGAACCACAAAGATAATTAAAGGGTTATAACATGCGACCAAAGTGGAAAGGTTAAGACAATGAAACAGGTTCCCAATGTGCCTTCATCATAGACTATTCAAATTCTCTCTCTAAATTCTGTACTGAAACATGACATTTTGTTCAAGTCCATGAGACATGCATTTGTCATGTGATTCTTCTGATGACTACTGTTTGTTGCTGTGACTCCGGTCACATAACCATTTTATTTATCACTGGGTTGCGGGACCAGAATTATTTATCAGAAAGAAGAATAAGACCAGAGGAGATGAGTGGGGAATTTCACAAGTATGAAGACCTCTCTTGAAGAAGCTGCTGTCCTGTTGCTTTCTGTCTCCAACGAAAGACAAGGTGTAGAAATGAACTCAAACCAAAGCAAGAAGGATTTAGATTAAAAGTGAAAATAAAAGAGTTGGTAAACACTGAAATAGATTGGTAAAGGGGATTAAGGACTCCATTTCCCTGAGAGAGTCTTTCAAAAGAAGATTAGGCTTTATCTTCCTGAAGTGGTTTATGAACTTAATTCCAAGATCGAAAAACATCTGGTTGGAGAATGAAAATGCATTCAGGAATGTTACTACGGACCCCCAAACAAATGGGCAGAAATATTTTTTGCCCTCTATTATAAATGCATTCCTAGAAAGCTGTATATTGATTGCACTTTTAAAAAAATCAGTTGCCCTTTTAACTGAGAATTTTAAATGCCGTATAATTTGTGGAGATCTTAAATATTGACTATCAGCCACGATTCTCTCTCTCTCTCTCTCTTTTGTTTATGGAGGGAAAACTCCCGTTAGAATTATCACTACTTTATCTGCTTTAGTGTATTTAAGGTATTGTTATGTTAAGTTTGCTAAAAGCAAGACCCATGTATATTTTAAACTATCACATTGCTATGGGCATTTTTTTTTCTGTTCAGTGCTTGAAGGTATACAGACAAACCTAGTATGATTCTTTTTTCAGGTATTAAGACAAAAATAATGAGTCTATGCAGTGTAAAAGGGGGTCAATAACTATAAAATGATGTGAAACAAGAGAATAGTCTTGCAAACTTAAGTCCATCAGGTTGTTTTCCTTATAGCAAATACCAGCTTCATATATATATATATGGTATTTGCTATAAGGAAATTCTATACACACACACACACATATATATATAAAATCCTTAATATAAGGGATTTTTAAAATTTATTTATTTGAAAGAGAGATAGACCATGAGCAAGGGGAGGGACAGAAGGAGAAGCAGAGTCCCTGCTGAGCAGGGAACCCAACAAGGAACTCAGTCCCAGGACCCTGAGATCATGACCCAAGCCAAGGGCAGACGCTTAACCGACTGAGCCTCCCAGGTGCCCTGCAAATACCAACTTTCGCTGGATAACCCTTTTGGGCAATTTTCAGCGTTGTTTTTTTTTTTTTTTCTTCAAGACATCCCCCTCCTCCTTCCCAGAACAAACCCAATTTCAACGGTCCCAAGCAGTGTAATTTTTGTTTTTTTGCAGGAACAAATCACAAAACTGTTTTCTTACCCTCAGGAGCTACAAGTGACAGAGAGACAAGTGGCATAAAGTAGGGAAGAAGACAGTGAGTCTGGGCAGGACTTGTTTGGTCTGAGGACAGATACAGCAAGCATTCGACGTTCCTGAAGAGGCAGGGAGCGTGAGAAAATTGGGCAGCATGGGGCAGCAGAAAGAATGCAGAATCTGGGTGCCCTGGCTTTGAGGCTCACTTCTGCTGCCTGCCAACTTCGAGCAAAACCAAGCTCCTCAACCTCTAGGAGTTCAGGCTCCTAGTCTTTAAATGATAGTTATAGTGTCCCCACCCCTTCCCCATGTAAACAGAAGGTCTTCCTTACTCAACTCAGATTTCATACCACAAAATGGTTGCAGGTTTAATAGAGAGAAACACTCAGCCTTTTGGTAAATCCATGAGCAACAACTAGTGCTGGAAACTTCTGGAGAAGGCGGCTTCTCCAATTTATGATCTAGTCTGATGAGAATGTTGGATGAATGTTGGTCACCCAGGAGCTGAGTGTCAGAAAGTCTCAAGGAACTCAAGGAATTATGCCTCAAGGAGCAAAGTTAAACCAAGAATTCAATTTATTCTGCCCCCAAGGAAGGAAGGGCATTCCAAATTTCACAGGATCCAACCCTCTAAAAAATATCAGTAGGATGATGATGTCAGAGCACCAGTTATGACCACACCACTGGATACTAATTCTCAAAGCACAGCAGTATGGTGTTTTCTTTTTCTTTTCTTTTTTTTTTTTTAAGATTTTATTGATTGATTGATAGAGACACAGAAAGAAAGGGAACACAAGCAGGGGGAGTGGGAGAGGGAGAAGCAGGCTTCCCGCTGAGCAGGGAGCCCAATGTGGGGCTCAATCCCAGGATCCTGGGATCACGACCTGAGCCAAAAGCAGACACTCAAGGACTGAGCTACCCAGGCGTCCCAGCAGTATGGTGTTTTCTATACGTCATGCCCTATTTGAAGGGCTTTATATGTATTGATTAGCTTAATTTTCAAGACAAGCTTATGAAGTAGATTTACTGTTATGATCATCATTGTCCCTCTTTTATTCCCATCAGGAAACAAAGGCAACCAAAGGTTAAAGAATGGGGCCCTAGGTTAGCCCACAGCTAGCAAGTGAGAGAGCCGCTAAGCATGAACATTCAGGGTGAGGCCACACCTGTGACCGTCAAACAAGGAATATGTATGGAGCGAGGCCCTGGTGTTAGGGCAGACATGGTTCCTGTCCTCAGCCTACAGTCTTGTTGAGGAGCCTGACATTAAACAAATAACCATGCATGTGATTATTCTATGACAGGAAAAAATGATCTCTAGGGATCTTGTTTTATTACATCTGGTTTTTTTATAAAGCTGAACCAAAGCTTGCAGAGTATCAAGCCTGAAGGGGCTTTAGAGATGATCTAGGTAAGGCCTTGTATTTTCCTGTGGAAGACAGTGAGGTACACAAGGTCACACAGGTAATACTACGGGAGCAAAGACCTTGACCCACTGCGAGCAGCGCTCTTTCTCTAGGTGATGACCAATGTTCGGTATCTTCAGTCACGAAACACAGATGAATACGCAGATCCTACCCATAGCCAATCTTCCTCATAAGCTTTAAAAACACTCTTTTTAAAAATCATAGATTTAAAAAACAAACCAAAACCAAAACCAAAGACAACAAAAAACAGCCTCAACTGAGAATTCCTTTTCAAAGGGTCAAGAGCCTCTTCGCAAGCCCCCAGGTCTTCTCATAGTCCTCGTGTGCTGTTTCCAGGTGAATCTGACACTAACCCAGCCCTTCCCATCTTTGGCTTTCAGCCCGAGACAGTGATGGAGCTGAGGAGGATGTAGCATTAACTTCATATGGTACCCTCATTCAGCCGCAGGTAAATGTGCTCATCTACGGTCCCCGAGGGACAGAGCAAGGACTCCTTCCTTAGGAGAGTTGTCAGGCTTCATTTCCAATGTCTGTACTGACCTGAGAGAGGAGAGGTAGGGTAGGCTCGTCTCCACAAGCTTGCGGAGCTTGAGCTGTCCAGATAAAACCTGTCCCGGGGCAGGGCAATAAAGGCAAGGGATGCCATCGCCTCTGCCCAAGCCCCTCCCGATCCCCACCGCCACGCATCAACAAGGTACTGGCTATAGGCAAATGCCGCTGGCAAGGAAAAGCAGCTCGAAAGGTTGGTGTGAGTGTGACGAGGAAGAGGCTCACTGCTTCTCATCTTGGGGACCGCAGGGAATTGTAAATATGTATGAGGTCAGATCTGTTTTTACTGTCTATCGGTGGTCTAAATGAATCCCCTGAGCCCTGCTAGCCGACTCTCTGTGTCACTGTGTAGCTCCTACAGCCCAAGCTGCCCCCCCAGAACTGGGTTAGTGCTGTCACCCTCCCTCGTCACCAGATGGGCGTAACCCATTTTAATCCTTTCAGGCAAAAGCGGAAGGAGCATGACTGAGCAGAACTGGAGGTGACTTGTGTTTGTGTCGGATGACTTGAGGGCGTACAGAGGCAGGCAGCCAAAAATACCACACTGCGACACAGTTTTTATATTCTGGTCCCCATAACTAAAATCTGAGGGTGGAAGTCATGCTCACACTGGTTGTTCGAAGAACTGTACGAGGCCACTCTAACTAGCTAATGCCTCTGGTCTGTTACCTGAGGCTTGGCCTTTTCCTGGAAGAAGGGCACACAGACCAGGACACAGAGAGAGCATTTGCTGTAATTAACCCTCTAGAGGGCATTAATAGGATGAGAAAATATTTATCATCCTCTCCAAGAATTTCTTGGATTACTTCAATTTCCAGTGATCAGCTATTCAAGAATCTTGCAGAAATAGCTTTGTTACTGGTTAAAAGGGAAGAGGGTTTAAAAAAAAAAAGTTTTTATGTGCGTAGCCTCCATGTTTTTTTTTTTTTTTTTTCTTAACAAAGGATTAAGTGATGCTGAAATGATATTTCAAACATAGCTCTGGAAAGTATCACTCCTTGCATTGACTCAGAAAATTGACAATGGCCTTTCTTCTTTTCCAGACTGTTGATCCCACACAAGAGTGTTTCATCCCACCAGCTAAACCAAGCCCCCAGCAAGATGCAGAAATATGAAGTCCACAGGAAATATGCATAGTGGAAACTCAGAAGACCATCCTAATGTAGCCCTGATGGGTCACTGGGGAGCCCAGAGTCATGGTCCAGCCAAGTACCAGCTCATCCTTCCTTCCCTGCTTCCCAGCCCTTTCCATCCATCTGGACCCTTCATCAGAAGACTACTGTCTCAAGCATAATTACAATCTTGCTGGCCACCCTAACTTGACTATGTGTCTCTTTCTTCTTTCCTGAAACTGAAGGACTTCTTTCCTTAGCAGTGTGAGAACAAATTGGCAGCTCTTACTAATGGGGCCAAAAGACCCTAGCCTGAAAAAATTAGGGTCATGTACTTTGATAAAATATAGAGGTTAGTAGCAACTTACTCCTGCATTACTTCTGTAGTCATTTTTTATAAAGGGCCCCTGTATAAATATGATTGACCCAGAATTTGTGATAAAAGTTATAGCAAAATCCTCAGGATCCCCATGATTGGGCATTTTATTTTATTCTTTTAAAGATTTTATTTATTTATTTGAAAGAGAGGGAGAGAGAACAAGCAGAGGGAGAAGCAGCAGCATCCCGCTGAGCAAAGAGCTAGATGCGGACTCAATCCCAGGACCCTGAGATCATGACCGGAGCTGAAGGCAGACCCTTAACGGACTGAGCCCCCCAGGCACCCCTCGATTGGACGTTTTAAATAACACAGACTTCAAGGCTTGGATTCTGGCAGGGCTTCTCCCATGGTTTTAGCACTCCATGCCAGCAGACGTGGCTGAGGTCAGTGACCTGCTTTGATGAACCAACAACAGCAAAGAAAGAGCCACCCTAGTTGATGCTCATAAATGATTTTAGGTGGTGCATATAAAAAGCACAGTCTGCCTGTCTTGATGTTTCCAGTGAGCTGAGGCCTCTGCACTAATTACTCTGCCTTCATTCCTCCTGCAGTCCCACATCCTTCCCAACGGACCCACCTGTTCTCACGACCCACGTGCTGTACATAACAAGTGCAACAGGACCAGAGTTAGAAGTGTGCCACCAGAGGGCTTCTTAGGGTCTGATTTAACCCTCTCACCTTCCAGATAAGAAAACAGAACTCTAGAGCAATGAAATGACTTGCCCAGAGCCTCACACAGTAGTTAGTGGGAGTCCAAGTCTTCCAACTCATAGGCCACTCCTCTTTCCATTCAGTAAGGCTTCTCCATGCCTGTATTTCTGTATTGACAATGTGTGGACCCACTAAGAACCAAATGTGATAGTTCAGACCAATGAGTGTTGAGTGCCTCCTATGTGAAAGCAATCTGAAAAATAGCTAAGACTCCATACATGGGGAAAAAAAACCAGCCTTTTTTTTGTGAGCAATATACAGCCTGAATTGCTCAATGCCACCAAGCATTTCCTGAGCACCTGTGAGGTACCAGGAGCTGTTCTTGGGTTGAGCCTTAAGCAGATAAGGCAGACAATGCTGCTCTGGTAGAGCCTGTGTTTTTCCTGGGGGAGATAACACAATGCAGAGAATTTCAGGAACGCAGCTCCCTCCTTTTCCAGATGAGGAAAGAGATTTGGCCAGAATAATATGGCTTGCTAGTGGCAGAATCAACTAGAATCCAGATCTCGAGCTACTGTTCAAAGGCTCCCTCAGCCTCTGCACAATGTTCCCACACTTCATATGATTTTCTGCTACTCTCAGATAGCAACTCCTTGTTAAAATCTGCATCCTGAGCACTGTTCTCAGAACAAACCAGTATGTAGGTAAATGCCCAAAGAATTTGACCTTCTGCTCTTATTGGTAATACCAAATTGAGGGAGAAGGTTTAAACATTAAGACTCTGACCTATCTATTAGGTGGCACACTATTTAACAAACCACATAAAGAACCCAACCTGAGAGGGAAAACAACCCATGGAAACTTAGAACAGCTCTGGAAGAAAATCATCATCACTGATGCTCCTAGTTTTTAATCCTAAAAATGATGACAATGGCATCTTCAACATAATTCTGTTGTGGTGGGAGCGGAGTGGTGTGGTGTGGTGTGGTGTGTTTCAGGCAGGAAATGTTTCTGTTGAGTTGGCTGTCACATTTTAATAAACCCATTAAAACCATAGATGATGGCCCATTTTGTTTCCCAAAATGTTTTTCTTAGTATTAGTAAAAGTAAAATTGAACCTCTTTGTGCCAAAATTTGGACTACATATTAGTTAGATTTGGGGGGATTGTAAGGTGACAAGTGCCTCGATCAGGCTGTTTCCAGAATGGAGTTGTGGTGTAAGGTTACATATGGCAGCGGGGAGACAAAACTCTTCTCTGCGAACCAGAACAGCCACTCAGCCAGCCTCATGGCCATGGAATACCATCAAGTGTTGGTAGGAGCATGTTGATCTCACCCCAGCCCTGCAATTCCCCTCAGCCGTTTTGACACTTTCCTCACTGTCTCAATTTCCTTTTGAGGTATTTTCACGTACTCACCCTCTACCAGCTGACTGGTTCTTTCCCCATGTGTCATATTCAGATTCCTGAGAGGGAGCCTGAATGGTCCAGCTGACCATCATTGCTTCTGACTGGAAGATCTCTGGAAGTGGCCCTCTTAATTTACAGTCAGCCTGTGGACCGACTGCCTGTGGGTCCCGTCCCCACCTTTGGTCCATTCAGCTATGCCTGGCTTGATCATGCGGTACAGACTTGGTCACATATGTCTGCTCCCTCAGCGGAAAGGTGTGGGCAGGGAATTATCCTCCAGCAAGCAAGGCATAGCATGCACCATGAGTGGCCAACACAGGAGAGCTTGGTCCAGAAAAATATGATTTTGTGAAGTTAAAGAATATTTTAATGAAAATTAAAATTTGAAGTTTATGCAGCAATTTCCATAAAGCTAAAAACTCCAATAGTCCTCTAAGTCAAGAGCCATGAAGAACTACTTAAAAGAATAGATAAAACTATTTGTGATGGGCATATTGTACTCATTGACTCAATTCAACAATTATTACTTGAAGATTTAAACTCATTTACTGGGGCGCCTGCGTGGCTCAGTCTGTTAAGCTGCTGCCTTCGGCTCAGGTCATGATCACAGGGTCCTGGGATCGAGTCCCGAATTGGGCTCCCTGCTCAGTGGAGAGCCTGCTTCTCCCTCTGCCTGCCTCTCTGCCTACTTGTGCTATCTCTCTATATATAAAATAAAGAAATAAAATCCTTTAAAAAATAAAAACAAACTCATTTACTTATATGTCCTGGGTTGTATAATTGGAAAGGCACTAATTCTTTTAAGTATTTTAGATAATCCTCTTCTGATTTTTATTTATTTATTCAAAAGGAAGTATATCGGTGAAAACCTTTATTATAAAATCTCTTCCTTGTGGGGCACCTGGGTGGCTCAGTCAGTTAACTGTCTGCCTTCAGCTCAGGTTATAATCTCAGGGTCCTGGGATCAGGACACAGGTCAAGCTCCCTGCTCAGCAGGGAGTCTTCTTCTCCCTCTGTTCCTCCTCCTGCTCATCCTCTCTTTCTTTCTCCCTCTCCCTCCCTCTCTCTCTCTCTCTACCTAATAAAGAAATAAAATCTTTAAAAAAAAAATGAAGTATCTCCCTGGTGACAAGTGCCTCTTGCAGCTGGTTATCTCAGTTAGAGCATGATGCTAATGAAATACCTATAGAGCTAACATATCCTTCATCTTGATGATTTTTTCCTGATCCTAAAGACCACCAAAGATTTGTTTCCCTCCACATTAAATTTCATGCTCTCCCCATAAGCTTTAAAGGCCTTCCAGATATCATGCCTTATCTGAAGCTGTGGTCTGGTTAGGCTAAAATTTTCTCACTCTATCATTATTCCTTCTCTCTTCTTTTAAACAAATGATCCCTTTTCCTAAGATTATGTCTACTTCAGACTGGCCAGATTCATGCCTTATTATCCTTCTTTTCCTCTTTCCACAATCAGTTCCAACTCTACCTTTTCCCAGAAACTTTCTCTGATGACATAAGGACCCAGGATTGTCACACACCAAGCCCTTAAGTTATAGCAGAATGAGGTTCTCTTTCGCTCAAGCTCAGATGGTAAAGGGGATAATTCTATAGCCTTTTCCTCAGAGTAAGCCTAATCATCTATTTTAAAAGCACATTTAATTTATGAGCAATAAACTAGAAAATCTATTTGTGCTTCCTTTGTTACAAAAGCCTCTGTATTTTTCATGTAAAGAAGGTGCTTCTCAATTAACATTCAACAGGGACAATCGTGACCTTGACTTCCGAGAAGACATGCTTGACGTCTCCATAAAGATTTCTCCTTGGAGTCATTGAAAATATCTTCATGGCTCAGGCCACTTCTAAGCTGTTGGTCTCTTGTGAGAGATCATATTTGCTGCTCTTCACAGATAGATGAGTTAGAATTAGGTTTACATTTTAACATGTAGCAGAACTTACTTATTCAAAGGACTTCAACGTGGAAGACTCAGGAAGCACAAGGACGCATCCATTGCTCACAACATTATTAGAATGCCTTCCCTGGAAATGCCTTCAAGAAATCCTCAAGAAAATCACTGGGATTGGATTGTGGTGATGGTCTCTGTCAGAACTGAGAGCTGAGTTGAATGCTGTATTTCTAATATTGATCTTACCCATCGCTCAAAGTATAACCAAGTGCACTTTGGAAATGCCATTGGACATCTTTCTGGATTTTTCTAAAGATGGTGGAACTATTAGAATTCAAACCACATTCAGGAAGTGGTTAAATCAAGTCTGGGTTTAGAAAAGTTGCACCAGATCACCAACAGCTTGAATCCTCCAAGCAGACTTTTTTTTTTTATGTAAAAAGTAAGAAGATTTTATTGACTTTTATATGTTCTTAGAGAAAACTATTCACATGTAAAAGTTTGACATTTGATAGGAGATGTAGTTACACTTTATTTTACACATAAATTCTTTCATTTGGGGTCAGACATAATGTTTCATTTCAACAGGACTCCCACCTGATTATAGTCCCAAGTTCTTGAGATAATGGCATCATCATAGGGCAAGGTAAACTACACTGGT